CGTATGTGTATGTATGAGAGACGTATGTGTACAAATTTATTGATTTCAAATACCCGAAGTCAATGCATTTGTCTTAATCATACAGCCACAAGCGGGTAAACAACACCCTAAAGTAGTTCCAGGTAAGAGACGGGATGAAGCAGATGGAACAGGAAGGGACGAAGGGCGGCTGGACGGGACGGGTCGTCGTTACTCGGGTCCGTCCCGTCCCACCTCTCTGTCTCATGCCTCATTTCCCTAACCCAATCATTTGATCCCATCCACAGTCCTTGATGGCCGACCCTGACATGCTGGAGTTTCGGCGTGATGTGGAGACAGAAGAGGACACCCTCGAGTTCTGCAAGAGGGCTAGGCCTTATCCCAGCCCCTCCTCCACCACCTCGACACGATCCTCGTCCACCAAACCACAACCCCCATGAGTTCTGGGGAGTATGTATGCCGTGAGCTGCAGTTCAACCCGAGGGAGCCGCACTGTGAGGGCCGCGTGTCGAACTACATCCGGCACTCACCCTAATGGCCCGAAGCCGCAATACCGTTGCGGTATATGCCGGAAGCAGCTCTCCCAGCTGCACGGCATGAGGCCCGTGAACCGTGCTGCTCATCATGGCGCTTGGTTCGCAATGCTGGACGCGTCAGGAAAGCCTAACACTAAAACCTCAAAACGAGTGGTCCTTTGGAATGGATCATATACGCGATGTCCATGGGCATATCTATTACCGACACCGTGTACCTGATGCGCCACTCGATCCCCCTGAACCGCAACACGGTTATTGACTGGCGAAACTACGTGCCTGAGTTTTTCCAGTACTCGCTGCAGCGCTCCTTCCCTGAGAGCCCCCGCCCCCCGGTGATGACGATATCGGCGAAAGTCTATTTCGTGGCAAACGGAAGTATAATCGGGGCCGCATGCGGCCGGAGGTGGGGAGCTGCGGTCGGCGGTACAGGTGATGCGGGCGGAGGTGGATGCCGAAACTACACGCGCACTGTAAAGGGCCTGTGGGTGTTCGGCCTGCTCTTGCGGCGCACCGGCGAACCCCGGCTTTTCGAGTCGAGAGGCGTGACGCGGCGATGCTCCTCCCTTTGATCATGCGCCATGTAGCGGCTGGAACCACTCAATATACCCTGGCTGGAACGGCCATCTATTCTGTTGAGTGGGCTGCGTACCGCACCATCGACGCCATCCCTGGGATTAACTACATCCACCGCACAGTCAAACCACCAGGCACCCATCCAAATTCAGACATAGCTTACTTGTTATCCCATATCCCACCAAGTCGTGCTGAACTGATGATACTTACAGTGAGGTAACTATAGCAGGATTTGTATGCCTGTCTACACAGGTGACCTCAAGCCAGGTCAGTGTGCTTGCGCCATTCTGTATCAACATGCCGGGACTCCGCCATACCGTTTGTGCCGCGGACCGCGAGCGAATCATCCAAGCGTACCGTGATGGCAACGATTACGTCGCTGTGGCCCGCCGGTTGAGCGTGAGGACGACCGCCTGGTCCATCGTGGCAAAGTGGATGCGTACCGGGGAGTCTGCTGCACGGAGGAGAGGGAGCAACCGACCGAGAATTGAGGAAGCTGGACGACGACATGATCGACTTCTTCCTGATGCTGATTGACGACGATCCGACCATCACCCTAAAGAGGATAAACCACATGGTGCGGGAAACGTGGCCAGAGAAGCCGGGTGTGGGTTAAATTAATTCGTTAACTGTTTATCTTCATTTGTTTTAAAATGTGGAAGTACACACACAAATAAAATTCTACTTGTATTGAAACCAAATTGTGTTGTATCGTGCAATGGGACTAAATAGCAATTATATGGTGTTTTAAATCGTTTAAACCCTCGCACTTACAGGGCTCGAACGGACCTCCACCCCTCGTTTTTTTTTTATCTAACTCGTAAGAAGCGGCCGATCACGACGGAACTTTCAGCAGCCTCGAGTTAATTACAAAATATTGAGGTTTTACTTTGTAACAGAACTTACGCCCCACCCTGTAAATTTAAAACTACCCCAACAATTCCATGACCCTGACATATATGACCTTTGCCCTGTGACCTATTTCTCGGAGACTATGCTTGGCCGGAATCCCGATTCGGCATGTGTCTGCTCGCGTCTTGAAGTTACGTTTCAGCCAGATTCTGTATTTCTTTGCTCGAATAAGTATGACATGGATGAATTATTTTCGCATTTCACCATTTACAGTTACACAGTATTCAGGTACGATTCATCGCAAACTCGCTTGGTATTCAGAATCAAAGTTACTTCATTCATTTCTAGTTCAAATTCATTCAAATCTCCCGCTCCTCTTTTTCCCAAATATCTAGTTCAGCATACCGAAATATTATCGCGCGCGCGTGAACTATGTAGTTACACTCTTTATTATACACTCTTTACACGCTTGACCATACTAATGTTATTGAAACTTATTACGACCAAATAGTTACTTGCATTAGGAACGCATCGGAGAAAACCATAGGTAGGAAGGTGGGAGGTAAATCACGGAAGGTTGTTCCCGGCTGGAATGAATTGGTTGAAGACAAGCACATTCTTCTCAATGATTTATACGCGTTATGGTCATTCGTGGGTAAGCCTAAATGTGGATATATTTTTGATCAGCTTCGACTGGCTCGGTCACGTTTTAAATATGCCTTACGTTTTTGCCTGCGTAATGAGAAAGAGCTTCGTGCCAAATCTTTAGCAGCCAAGCTCGTGCGGGCTCCTTGTAGCATGGCTGTGTTTTGGAAGGAAGTAAGGAGACTGAACTGTAGTCCTCCTCTAGCTCCCTCGATAAATGGTGTTACGGGCGAGTCGAATATTGCCGATATGTGGAAAGAACATTTCTCTGGGATATTGAACAGTGTTGACAATCCTAGTTGTAAGGTGTCTGTATTGCATAAGCTTTCATTAGATGACTGTGAATTGCTTCCTTTTTCAGTATGTGAAGTGACTAAAGCCATTAAGGAGTTGTCCTCAGGCCGTTCAGGCGGCAATGATCATCTTTGTGCTGAACATTTCAAATATGCTGGTAATTTATGTGCTGTGCATTTGTCCCTGTGTCTCACGCTGATGGTTAGACATGAGTTTTTGCCACCTTCATTAACTAAGGTTGTTTTGGTACCCATTGTGAAGGATAAAAATGGAAAACTAACTGAGAAAAACAACTACAGACCGATTGCAATTGCCAGTGTATGTTCTAAGATTTTGGAGAGAATTATTCTCAACCGCTCTTCTGTACAACTTAGTACTACCACCAATTTGGATTCAAGGAGCGTCACTCAACTGATATGGCGATATATGCTCTAAAGATCACAGATTATTATTTGCGCAATGATAGTCCGGTGTTCATTTGCTATTTGGATGCTAGTAAAGCATTTGACCGTGTTAATCATTGGAAATTGTTGGATAAGTTGCTGTGTAGAGGTATGAACTCCCGACTGGTAAAACTTATAGCGTTCTGGTATAAGTCTCAACGTTTTCATGTACGATGGGGAAGTTCTGTATCGGCGGGTTTCAATGTGTCAAATGGTGTCAGACAAGGTGGTATTTTGTCTCCATTTTTGTTCAATGTATATACTGATGACCTCTCCGATATGCTTAATCGATGTGGTTATGGGTGTCATTATCTTGGTAGCGTAAATCATCTGTATTATGCAGACGATATGGTCTTACTTTCTCCGACTCCCTTTGGCCTGCAGCAAATGCTGCACATATGTGAGAGGTATGCGAAAGACCATGATATTTTGTTTAACTCCACTAAGACAGTCTGTATGGCCATGCTTCCAAAGAGATTCGGTGGTATGCATGTACCTACGATATTGCTCTGTGGACATATGCTGAGTTTTGTTAGTACGTATAAATATCTTGGGTATCAAGTGTCTAATGATTTATCCAGAGCAGATGATCTAGAAATCCGCCAGCAATATCGAGCATTGTGCTGTAGAGCCAACTCGCTCATCCGCAAATTTGCGATGTGCACGCACAGTGTGAAGAAGTGTCTTTACAATGCTTACTGCTCAAATGTCAGCTATGTACACTTGTGGCATTCTTATCACTTGTCTGATCTGAGAAAGTTCAAGGTCTGTTTTAACAACGCCGCCAGGGAGACACCGGTTGGTCACGTGACTCGGAAACAAAAATCAGCTGATAGAGTGGCGGAATCACCGTAATCAAACACGAATAATTCCGGACGATAGAGCGGCAGTATAGGAGTTTTCTTTACAACAGGTAATCATTGCAATGTATTATCATTCTATGACCAAGAAACGTTCATAAATCATATATTTCTTCGATGATTACTGCCGCAACCGACGCGCATATATTGTAGCCAGCGCATAAAGCTGTGCTTTGCGATATTATATGTAATGAAACGGCCAATACTAATAATTTGTAACAAAGCTCGAAAAAAGATGGCATTCTATCTTGCTTCAACCTTCTACTTACGCTTTTATAATAACGACAGCGACACCATACGGCCTATTCACGCTATGCAACTCCATGGCGTGTCCGGCCACACTCTGCCGAGTGTGCCGAGATCAGAGGCGGACCATCCGCGGCAAGTCCAGCTGCACTGCCCGGTACCTGGGAGGGCGACGCCTAGCCCCGCTCTGGCCGCTCGCTTCCGCGCACAACTAAGCTACCTGGCTAGGCCTGTGGGAGGGGAGGGAGAAAACCAACAACAGTCTGATGAGCCAATGGAGTCTGTGAGCCGCGCCAATCAGCGCCCTTCCGCGCGCAGACGGGAGCTAGAGCTTCTCATCTCATTTCCTGTTTTCGCTGGTCCGCCAGTCACCAGCATCGTTCCGTGCTCTCCATCTTGGCCGATTCGGCCGTGTGCGTCAGCAACAACAGTGTGAGAGAGAGAGAGAGAGAGAGGGGGGAAGAGGGAGAGGGAGAGGGAGAGGGAGAGAGAGAGAGAGAGAGAGAGAGAGAGAGAGAGAGAGAGAGAGAGAGAGAGAGAGAGAGAGTCTCGGATCACGCCAGGCAGCCACATGGGTATCTATTGTTTATTTATTTTCCAGTGATCGCAAGCGTTTTTGTTTGGAACCGGGTGTGATCAGTATTTGACGCATTTCTGTGATCTGTATGATAAAACTGAAAAATAGTGAAATATATTCACTTTAATTCACATATCGCTTTTGATTCATGGTACGGCTGCTTGATTTTGCCACAACATACATACACAGTCGATCTCGGCATGTTTCTGTTCCAGAACAGCAGCTGCAGTGGACACCAAAAATGCATTCATGTTCTGACAACTTACTCCAAAGATACAAATATTTCACGACGAACTGCTAAGTTCCAGAGAAAGTATTTTCTCGCTCACAGATGCTCAACAAGAAGCGCGCGATTGATTGCAACTAGCACGCTCACGATTTCTAAAATAGCGCTGGCCCAAACCTGCCCCTTACATCCAAATATAATATCTTAATTCCAGCCTCTGTCCTATTTATTATTTATTAGCGCACCGAGAGTGAATGATACCACGGCATAGCCGTCATATTACAGAGCACAAATTGCGAGACGACGTTCGAGACCCGTATCGGCGTATTCTTTACAGATCCGGGTGTCTCGCTTTCACTCTCAATCAACCCTGCCACACCATCAACCGAGCCACATCGGCTCCGACCATCTTGATCCCCGCACTGAAATCTGATGGCCGGCCCGTCATTTCATCCTATCCGTCGGCGCGCACTACACCCGAGCTCAGCCTAAAGTGCACTGTGCGGCCTTCTTCGGATGACACCTCTGAGCATGGCGCTTGCCTTGCACCTGGATGCTTAGAGCCTCTTGTTCGTGCACGGCCTTTAGCATTTCAGGAGTTGGATGGTCTCGGCGGTGGCGGCGCTGGTCACCGTGGAGCCGTCGGAAGACACCGTCAGCTCGAGCGCCCTCGACCAGTGACCTGTAAAGCAGCGAGTCGCGGCATGTCAAGACGACCGTCACGTTTCAGTCACGAAGGCCGTTATAGAAGTCACGGCGGCCGTCATATGCCAGCCGCGGCGACCATCACATAGCAGTCACGGTGACCGTCACAGGTCACGACGGTCGACAAATACCACTACGAGCCACGGCGACCACGACTCATAGCTCATAACGTTTCCTGACGCACACTCAGCTATAATAACAGTATATAAGCCTGTACACACATTTCTCACTCGAGAAATCGAAACCCGAACCTGAGACCCATCATACGTCACGACACTAAGTTGCAGCGGCACCTGCATTAGCAGACATCCCATCCCGGCAACACAAAAAGTTCTCCCGAGCCACCCACCTAAGGACGCGGTGACGGGTCACAGAATTGCCATCACGTCGCTGATCTAGTGACGAAAAGGGACACAGCTGACCTATGGACGCGTTGGTTCACACAATTAGGTACTGACCTGGAGATGATGTGATAGTTTCTGGTCAATGTCGATACGCGCGCCGCGTGGCTGGCCATCACACTCTGCCACCTCCGGATGACGTTCTACAGAGCTGGATCGACACGCTGTCTCCAGAACCACCGCCAGAAACAAGCCTGATGGAGGATGATATGATCAAAACTAAAAAAACCACAAAGCACACAATGAAGACGACAAAAGCGGCGGCAGGCACATAATGACGATTGACGACCTATAACTAAATCAGCTTATTCAACGTCAAAAAAGGCTGCAAATGTCTATATTTTACTAGTCAAACGCCCGTGATAGGCTGATGTGCCTAGCTAGATGTAGCTTGACATTCCGAATGTGGCCTAACCCTCGCCCGTATGGGGGGGGGGGGTCGAACGGACCCCTCCTCGGTTTTTCGCGGATAACTCATAACTCGCATAAAAAAGACGCCGATTGCGACGAAACTTTCAGTACCCTCCAGTTGATCAATTTTACACATGTCCTTGACATTTTATGAACCTGACCCAAATGAACTTTGACCTGTGACCTATTAAGCCCAGCTGCCGAAAGCCATGGCAGCTAGTTGGGGAAGCTTCAGTCCAGATAGCATATGCAAGTAGTAGCCATTCAGCAAGTCTGGTGGGAGGCACTTTCAGCAACTGTTCAGGCGTTAATTGGATGGAGAGTCTGGGGTGTGTGCGCACCAAAAAGCAGCAACTGCACACTCAGAACATTGGCAAAACCTGGGTAAAGCGAATGAGAGAGGGAGTCAGGAATCAGGCGTGCAGGGGTAGACAGCTGAAACAGGCGAGGAGAGCAGTGGAGACCTGGAGACATTATGAGGAAACATTGGTCTGGGCAGACACCCAGGTTGAGGTGAGTTGTCAAGACTCAGTCACCCAGACTCAGCACTGACAGCACTGACATCACCATAAATGTTACCAAATGCCGTGAATAGAATAGTAAGACATTTTATAAGATTGGACCCTGGGGGAACCTCCAGGCTTCCCCCATGGGATGGGATAGTTGTCTGTCCAACCCTTAGCAGGGTGGATGTTTGGGAGAGGTGGACAAAGCCCGCGGAGGGCATGTATTTCATGATCGCTACACACATTGTAAGACTTTTTTAATGATATAATAACTCAAACTTATCCATGTAACTTGTCAATTACAGGACTTTGTGGGCTTTTGTTTAATAATTCTCAGAACATCATCTTTTCTGGCGAGTTACTTGCAACACGCATTGCTGCAAGCTCCAAAAGCACAACTCGAAATGGCCAACCACAGCAGGGTCTCAACCTGAAGCAGGAGATTGAGACGCAGAAGAGAAGGAGTCGGAGAGGATCAGGATCATGGAAACAAGAGAGCAGAGGACCAAAATGAAGCTGGGTGAGGGGTTTATATAGACTTGACTTCAGGTAGACTACATACTTCGTAGGACAGGTACCTACCTAATAATTCCGATGGCAAATCAATATAAAAACTATTTTGATTTGTATCTCAACTAACCACTGCCACAGAAAAGAAACTTGACACAAATCCACCCCACCCGGCACAGATAAACTCACAATAAAAATACATTTCAAAATCTGTTTCCTGTTCCGTGGCCTATCAAAAACAAATCCAACAAGAAAATTCATTAAATTTGAAAATGTTTATAACCTTGAGCGCCTTGAGTTGAATCCAAAGCCATGCTGAATAGCTTGAATCTTTAAAGTGTTCTCAATCAGTAAAAGAAACGCCGTTAAACCAATCAAATACAAAAGCTGGCGTTTGCTAGCGATAGCAGTACAGAAAACTGCGCGCAACTGCGGGTGATAATTATGGTCGGCAGTTTTCAATACCAAGTTTCGTAAAGTTCCCGCGTTTATTTTGTTTCAAAACCTATACCAATAGATACAAAATTCAATTTTGTTTACTATTAAGCTTTAAATAGACCCCACATCGGTCTTGTTTTCTATTAATATGCCATTAACTCTCACCGTGTGACCTTAGGCGGCAAGGAAGTCAACGCATACCAGACCAAAATAATGCATCTTTTAATTCTTAAACTGCAATAAATCATACATATTTTGGAAGAAAATTGAATTTTTATTTCAATGAAGGGTCTTTGTGAGCCCAACAATGACTAGTTCGCCATCTAGCTATGTTTTCGTCCAGAACTGTTTTGTATTCAAAATTCGAAGTTTTAGAATTAGACGTAAATCTTTTAAAGTTCCCGCGTTTCTTACGTTTTGACATTTTAATATGTTATAATGTAAGCGATTCTGTTAATTTTAGTGAAATATTTAGACCCCACATCGATCTAGTTTTTGAGAATCATTACATATAGTGGAACAGGATGACCATGGACAGCAATGGTGGTCATGTATTGAACATCAACTAAACACAGTTTCCAACATTTAAAAGGCAACAACAGGCACAGAATCTGATAGATAATTCAATTTTGATATTTTTTGACCATGTTGTAAGCCCCACATCACTGAAGTTACTCGACAATTCATGGTGGAGCATTGGCAGGTCCGGTAGGCTGAACAGCTCAGAACCATGGTAATTTCTAAATTCAACAAAAGGGAGTTGGCCTTTGATATTACTTTTTGTCCTTCAATTTTAAATTTTGATTGTGAAAAATTAATTTTGTCCATGAACAATCCTTGCAACTTAAGATATATAATTTTTGAAATGGCGGAGATAGCCAACAATTTATTTTCGTTAATGTTTCACAGATTCATACATGGCGTGGTCTCTGATCATAAATCAAAAATATATATACATATAATAAAACTCATTGAAATTTGTTGCTTAGTTCTCTTTTTTAGAGTTAAAGGGTCAGCTGAAAATAGTGGTCAAAATACCTTAGTGTTGTAATTTCGAACCGGTTTTACCTAGTACTCTATATACCGTGAACGCCGCTAGGATGTTTTTCGGCTACGAACGGTTCTGTAGTGCTTCTGATATGTTTGCTCAAGAGCATATAGATGGTTATGATGCACTGTATCGCAAAGCTGTATATAACTTTATGTCACGCTTATCCATGTCTGAAAATCGTATAATATCTGCATTGTACAACAATGACCTAAAATGCTCTTCATCTATTAGGAGGGTGTGGTCTCGAGCGTTATATGGATGGTGACGCTACCATGGACCGGGGTGACTGTTGAACACCCCTTTTTGTTATGGACTTCGTGTCTGTTAATAAAGTGATCTCTCTCTCTCTCTCTCTCTCTCTCTCTCTCTCTCTCTCTCCTCTCTCTCTCTCTCTCTCTCTCTCTCTCTCTCTCTCTCTCTCTCTCTCTCTCTCTCTCTCTCTCTCTCTCTCTCTCTCTCTCTCTCTCTCTCTCTCTCTCTCTCTCTCTCTCTCTCTCTCTCTCTCTCTCTCTCTCTCTCTCTCTCTCTCTCTCTCTCTCTCTCTCTCTCTCTCTCTCTCTCCTCTCTCTCTCTCTCTCTCTCTCTCTCTCTCTCTCTCTCTCTCTCTCTCTCTCTCTCTCTCTCTCTCTCTCTCTCTCTCTCTCTCTCTCTCTCTCTCTCTCTCTCTCTCTCTCTCTCTCTCTCTCTCTCTCTCTCTCTCTCTCTCTCTCTCTCTCTCTCTCTCTCTCTCTCTCTCTCTCTCTCTCTCTCTCTCTCTCTCTCTCTCTCTCTCTCTCTCTCTCTCTCTCTCTCTCTCTCTCTCTCTCTCTCTCTCTCTCTCTCTCTCTCTCTCTCTCTCTCTCTCTCTCTCTCTCTCTCTCTCTCTCTCTCTCTCTCTCTCTCTCTCTCTCTCTCTCTCTCTCTCTCTCCTCTCTCTCTCTCTCTCTCTCTCTCTCTCTCTCTCTCTCTCTCTCTCTCTCTCTCTCTCTCTCTCTCTCTCTCTCTCTCTCTCTCTCTCTCTCTCTCTCTCTCTCTCTCTCTCTCTCTCTCTCTCTCTCTCTCTCTCTCTCTCTCTCTCTCTCTCTCTCTCTCTCTCTCTCTCTCTCTCTCTCTCTCTCTCTCTCTCTCTCTCTCTCTCTCTCTCTTTATCTAAAGGAAATCCGTAACACAAACATGTGAAGTGATGTTCCTCTTATGCCTTACGGTGGATGTCAGGGTCACCTGAAGGTCAGGTCAGGACCAATGACCTCGGGTCACTTTTTCGAGTTTTTCATGTTGTAGGGCAGGTTTTGGAGCTGATTTAAACGCAGTAGAAACCTCACTTAACGATGTTCTAACGAGTTTCAATTTTCCTTATTTCTGGGTTATAGACCTGATCTGGAAGGTCAACCCAGGGCGCTTAAAATAGTCGGGTACTAGAATTCTACTATATCATCTAGAAAACAACTAGAACTGAGAGTTTTCAACTATATACCGAAATTGGGTGGTGGGCCAGCCTCATGCTTCCTCATTATTTCACTGTTACTTTATGTGTTTACGAATGTTGTGTTTGTGTATACCCCCGAGGCCCCCTACTTGGACCGCCTCTGCGACCCCACTGTGCCACGTGCCTGTGAGCGCCCCTGCCGGCGCCAGCTGACCGTGCGCCCCAAGCGGCGTGACTGGTGCACGGGACGTCGGCTGGCGCTCACCATACTTGTTTACGTTTTGTGCATCTCTCGGCTTAACGTATCGCAGCTAATAAATCGCTTTAGTCCGTTTATATATTTCCATTTCGAACCGATAAACAACAACTAAACAAGGAAGAAGTTTCAAGGAATTTTATCAAATGTGATACATGAAGACACCTTTCGAAATTTCGACTTAACAATGGGCATGCTTAGTACATTTGTATGATTAACAGGCCACTTAAATAACCATGCATTTTTACTCTGATAATTCTTGTCAATTTTTCAGATAGATACATGTTCTTTCATCCTGGTTTTCAAACAAACGTATCACCTGAGATTGTTTTTTATTGATTGCAAGTGTGATGCATGTAATTTCATCATGATGTGTTCTCAGATCGAAGATCTTGCTCGCAGCTATGCATCATTGCCTGTCAAGTGTCATGGCCGAAACTTCTTTGAGAGGGTTGCCATAGTGTTCGCCGTGTCATTTGTGTTGAGGATGAGCGGAGTGTTACCTATATCGATACGTTATATCTTGTGGTCAATGTTTAGTGTAACACATAGGCGGCGGAACGATTTGAGACAAGGGGGGGGCACCATGGCTCAAGGAGCCAAACCTAGGGTACCCCCAAATCCTGTTTTCTCATCGGATTTAGGCCACTTATTTTTCGTCACAGCCCTGACACGATGATTTTTTTTTTAGTTTATTTTTTTTACTAAACGAAAATGGCAGTTCACCCCCGTATGCAGGGGTGTACCTAATTTTATATCTCTTTGTGGGGGCATATGCACCCACAATCCTGAATTATGCCCCCACAATGATGAAAAAGCACCCACAAGTCTTTTACAAGGCTGCAAGCGTCCTTTCGAGAGCACGGTGCCCTTCGCATGCTCTAACGGCGTCCTCCTGACCGTCTCGCGTTCATGGATAGCGTTTTTAATCACTCGGCGCCCTTCTGGGAGAATGGCGCACTTTTAACAGCACCGCGCCATTCTCATGGTCTAACGGCGCCCTCCTGACCGTCTCGCGTCCTTAGGTCTCTGTTCACCGTGCATCCCTCGACTATTCGGCGCCCTTCTGGCCTCTCAGCGCCCCTGAACCACATATAGCGTTTTCAATCACTCGGCACCCTTTTACGAGAATGGCGCCCTTTTCATGATCTCAAGGCGCCCTCGTAACCATCTGGCGCCCCCACGTCCCCACCAACGTAGCACTACTGACTGTGCGGCGCCCTTCTGGCCTCTTAGCGCCCCTGGACCACATAGCGTTTTCAATCACTCGGCGCCCTCCTAAGAGAATGGCGCCCTGTTCATCGTCTCACGGCGCCCTCATAAGTCGTAACCGTCTGGCGCCTCCACATTTGGTGCCCCTCCTACTGGATGGCGCCTCTCTACATATTTTTTACGTCCTTCCGGTCAGTTTCCACTTTTAAGCGTGTATTTGCTTAGTCAGACACGTCACTTGAAGCGCCATTCGGCTAGCAATGTTATCAAATTCGGTGTTAATTTAGGCTCCCACATAAAGAATATCTATCGCGCCCCAAAACGGCCTGGCGCCGGGCGCCCCTACCGCTGGGCACCCACAATCATTTTAGGAAAATTACACCCCTGCCCGTATGTGTGGTTAACTTTAAGCTGATCCTCAAGTACCTATGTGTTTGTCTCTTCCTTATTGTCGTTTGATAAATTCCATTTATCCTACATGTATAATTGACCCAAGAAGCCATCGCAATACTAATCAGTGGCGAATCCAAGGGTGGAGGTCACATGGGTCATGACTTAGGGCCTGGGGTCACCACATGCCTGCCAGGAGCACCACAGGCCTGACAGCCGACAGGGGCACCACAGGCCCGCCAGGGGTGCCAAAGGCCTAGCAGGGGCACCACGAGCCTGTCAGTGGCACCACAGGCCTGTCAGGAGCACCATCGGCCTAGCAAAAGCACTACAGGTCTTCCAGGGGCACCACAGACCTGCCAGGGGCACCAGAGGCCTGTCAGGGACACTATCGGCTTCGCAGGGGAACCACCGGCTTCGCAAGGGCACCATGGGCCTGTCAAGGGCACCACAAGCCTGTCGTTGGCAATTTAGGATTGTCAGAGGCACCACAAACCTGTCAAGGGCACCTGCGTTCTAACAGGGGCACCACAAACCTGCCAAGGCCCAGGGACACCACAG